TGTGTGTCTACATTTGTGTGTGTGTGTGTGTATATATCTAGATTTGTGTGTTGTGTATCTAGATTTGTGTGTGTATCTAGATTTGTGTGTGTGTATCTAGATTTGTGTGTGTGTATCTAGATCTGTGTGTGTGTATCTAGATTTGTGTGTGTGTGTGTGTGTTTGTGTATCTAGATCTGTGTGTGTGTATCTAGATCTGTGTGTGTGTATCTAGATTTGTGTGTGTGTGTATCTAGATTTGTGTGTGTGAATCTAGATTTGTGTGTGTGTATATCTAGATTTGTGTGTGTGTTTGTGTGTGTATCTAGATTTGTGTGTGTGTGTGTGTGTGTGTGTGTGTGTTAGATTTGTGTGTGTGTCTAGATTTGTGTGTGTATCAAGATTTGTGTGTGTGTGTGTGTGTGTGTGTGTGTGTGTGTGTGTGTGTGTGTGTTTAGATTTGTGTTTGTGTGTGTGTATCTAGATTTGTGTGTGTGTCTGTGTGTGTATCTAGATTTTTGTGTGTATCTAGATTTGTGTGTGTATCTAGATCTGTGTGTGTGTCTAGATCTGTGTGTGTGTGTGTGTCTGTGTGTGTCTAGATCTGCGTGTGTATCTAGATTTGTGTGTGTGTGTGTGTGTATCTAGATTTGTGTGTGTGTGTGTGTGTGTGTGTGTGTATCTAGATGTGTGTGTGTGAATCTAGATTTGTGTGTGTGTATCTACCTAGATTTGTGTGTGTGTGTGTGTGTGTGTGTATCTAGATTTGTGTGTGTGTGTGTGTATATCTAGATTTGTGTGTGTGTATCTAGATTTGTGTGTGTGTGTGTGTGTGTATCTACATTTGTGTGTGTGTGTGTGTATATCTAGATTTGTGTGTTGTGTATCTAGATCTGTGTGTGTGTGTATCTACATTTGTGTGTGTGTGTGTGTGTGTGTCTACATTTGTGTGTGTGTGTGTGTGTCTACATTTGTGTGTGTGTGTGTGTGTATATATCTAGATGTGTGTGTTGTGTATCTAGATTTGTGTGTGTATCTAGATTTGTGTGTGTGTGTGTATCTAGATTTGTGTGTGTGTATCTAGATTTGTGTGTGTGTGTGTCTAGATCTGTGTGTGTGTGTATCTAGATTTATGTGTGTGTGTGTTTGTGTATCTAGATCTGTGTGTGTATCTAGATCTGTGTGTGTATCTAGATTTGTGTGTGTGTGTGTGTGTGTATCTAGATCTGTGTGTGTGTATCTAGATTTGTGTGTGTGTGTGTGTGTGTGTCTAGATTTGTGTGTGTGTATCTAGATCTGTGTGTGTGTATCTAGATTTGTGTGTGTGTGTGTGTGTGTGTGTGTGTGTGTGTGTGTGTATGTGTGTGTGTGTGTGTGTGTGTGTGTGTGTGTGTGTGTGTGTGTGTGTCTAGATCTGTGTGTGTATCTAGATTTGTGTGTGTGTGTGTGTGTATCTAGATTTGTGTGTGTGTGTGTGTGTGTGTGTGTATCTAGATGTGTGTGTGTGAATCTAGATTTGTGTGTGTGTATCTACCTAGATTTGTGTGTGTGTGTGTGTGTGTGTGTATCTAGATTTGTGTGTGTGTGTGTATATCTAGATTTGTGTGTGTGTATCTAGATTTGTGTGTGTGTGTGTGTGTGTATCTACATTTGTGTGTGTGTGTGTGTATATCTAGATTTGTGTGTTGTGTATCTAGATCTGTGTGTGTGTGTATCTACATTTGTGTGTGTGTGTGTGTGTGTGTCTACATTTGTGTGTGTGTGTGTGTGTCTACATTTGTGTGTGTGTGTGTGTGTATATATCTAGATGTGTGTGTTGTGTATCTAGATTTGTGTGTGTATCTAGATTTGTGTGTGTGTGTATCTAGATTTGTGTGTGTGTATCTAGATTTGTGTGTGTGTGTCTAGATCTGTGTGTGTGTGTATCTAGATTTATGTGTGTGTGTGTTTGTGTATCTAGATCTGTGTGTGTATCTAGATCTGTGTGTGTATCTAGATTTGTGTGTGTGTGTGTGTGTGTATCTAGATCTGTGTGTGTGTATCTAGATTTGTGTGTGTGTGTGTGTGTGTCTAGATTTGTGTGTGTGTATCTAGATCTGTGTGTGTGTATCTAGATTTGTGTGTGTGTGTGTGTGTGTGTGTGTGTGTGTGTGTGTGTGTGTGTGTGTGTGTGTGTGTGTGTGTGTGTGTGTGTCTAGATCTGTGTGTGTATCTAGATTTGTGTGTGTGTGTCTAGATCTGTGTGTGTATCTAGATTTGTGTGTGTGTGTGTGTGTCTAGATTTGTGTGTGTGTGTCTAGATCTGTGTGTGTGTATCTAGATTTGTGTGTGTGTGTGTCTAGATTTGTGTGTGTGTGACTGTTGATTTGTGACTTGTGTTTACATTTTCGTGTGTACCTTCAGTTCATACAAATCATTAAGTATGCACACACAAATCCCCAGGTACACACGGACAAACAACATTACACACAGATCAGTTTACAAGTACAAAAATCCTTTCGAGACACTTTTCTCACCTGACTGATTTGTGCGTTCATGGTGCGTTTGAATGCTGGGTGGAAGCTGGGAAATCCAATTTTTCTTTTGGATTTAGTCTAAACTTGTGTTATGGGACAAATATGTTTATCTATAGAAAAATACAGTATCTAAGGATCCTGTAGTTATAAAGATAGACCAACATTTAATTTTTAGTCATCTAAAATTGTTTATTCAGACATATATGTGTTTATTAGTCATGGAAACGTAGTCAAAGGATTATAATGACTAATAAATGGCAGAGTGGTTCTCTGACTGGAAAAAAGCAGGGTTTAAAAGAAGAGAAGGCACAAGAAGATTGTACGGAGTCATAGGGCGTGTCACACCCATCTACTTTCGGACCCCGGAAATGGAAAAAAAAATGAATGCAAGTCAACAGTGCTAAAATGCTCTTTTCTAATTCCACTTGTTATGTGCCATGGATTTCACAAATGATGTCCGTGAATTTTAAAGAGACATTTTGATACCAAGAACTCGCTTATTTTCTAACGGGGGAAACGCTATTTTATATTTAGTGTGAAAATAAGTCCAGAAGTACAAATGCGCTTCACGAAAGTGACGTCATCAAACCAGACACAGAGAAAAACAGAGGGAAAATGCCTGTAATCTGTAAGTTCAGTGAACTTCAAACCCTTTCTTCAGGAGGAAAGAACCACCATAAATCTGTGACTGGCGTGGTCGAAACACCCATCATTAGTTTTCATTTAAATAGTTTTTATTATTCCGCACACATAAACGGGCCTAAGAGCCACTTCCTTGTCTGGGGACGGCGTGTCAATCTTTCAGACCTATAAAACATCTTAAATGGTCTAAAATAATAGCTGTCTCATTATAACCTGACTGCAGAACATGTTGGATTTACTTTTACTTACTTCAGAGGAAAGATCACCAGGACACTGCACCATCTTCTTGTGTCTTCTCCCGGTTTGAAGCCTGTTTTTTCAGTCAGAGAACCACTCTGCCAGTTATTAGTCATTTCTTTTAAACCTTTGACCATGTTTTCATGACTCATAAACGCATATATATCTAAATAAACAGTTTAGGTGATTAAAAATTAAGAGTAGGTCTACCTTTATACCTACAGGATCCTGAGATAATATTTTTTTTCCACAGAAAAAAATATTTTCCCATCAACACAAATTTAGACTAAATCCAAAGGAAACTCAAAATTCCCAGCTTACACCAAACATTCAAATGCACCATGAACGCACAAATCAGTCAGGTGAGAAAATAAGCCCCATTCCCTCCTGTACCGGGTCGGCCCGGGCCGGGTAGCGTAGGTTGTTTACATATCTGGGTGGCCTGGAATTTTCCCGGGCCAACCAAGGCTCATTCTCGGCCCTCTTCCCGAGGGGTACTGCTTCAGGCCGACCAGGGCCAACACGCCCACTGCTGACAAGAAATTCACACCTTCCATTAGAGCAAGCCTCTGATTGGTGGGTAGAATCAGCCCATTCACACCTTCCATTAGAGCAAGCCTCTGATTGGTGGGTAGAATCAGCCCACATGGGCTTAAGACAAGGATGTGTGGAATCAACCGGGCCAGGCTGGGGCCGACTGGGGCTACCCGGCCCGGGCCGACCCGGTACAGATGGGAATGGCCCATTAGTCTCTAAAGGATTTTTGTACTTGTAAACTGATCTGCGTGTAATGTAGTTTGTCAGTGTTTACCAGGTGATTCGTGTGTGTGTGTGTGTTTTCAATGATTTGTGTGTGTCGGAGCTGAAGTTACACACACAAATGTAAACACAAGTTGCAAATCAAGAGTTATACACACACAAATCTTTAGTTACACACACACACACATTTAGATACACATGCACAAATCTACACACACACACACACACACACACACACACACACACACACACACACACACACACACACACACACACACACATCTTTTGACACTTTTTTTCTCTCCATAGGCACTCATTAGGCTTGAAAAAGGTGTGGCATTAACTTTCAGCTGTGTTTGGATGTATTTGTTTCTTCCTGACGTTCTATTATTTGATGGCCCTGTAGCAATGAATACATCAGATTGTTGCTGCTAGTGATTGGTCCAATGCTATCCAATAGCGTGCGGAGACAGTCTGAAAGACAACTGTAGGTTCTAGCCCACAGAGCTGTGTATGGGCATTTACATATCTAGGATGGCTTGGCAGGCTAGAAATTACTTCCACACTGCAGGACAGCAGGTCATATGGACCAGAGGTTTCACCGAGAGGATCATGAACCTAGAACAAAACACACACATCCATGTTCAGAATGAAGGCTCTGAATAACATCTGATTAAATCTGAAGTCAGCCTGCACACAGCGGGGCTATACTAGTATACTTTATTAGCAGCAGGTGACATTTTGATCTTATTTGTTTGGCTGCACTTTTATGAGACTTTTTAAACGATTTTGTAATATTTCATTGGCACTTGTTTTAAAACTCCGTATGTTTGGACCTCATCTGTAGCTGCTGTTTGTGTTTCCCAGGCACCGCCGTCCATGGTCAGCACAGAACAGAGACAGCATGCTGAACACGTGTTCCTCTCCTTCAGAAAGTGCAAATCCCCGTTTGCCATCTGCAAACACATCCTTGGTAGGATTCTTTTCATTTGAAAGTTTAAAAGGAGTTTTAATGAATTTCTTTTTTTAAATAAGCTTGAACTCATGGCTTTCATTTTTCATTACTTTTTCATTCTTATGTCGTCATACCCCCCCCCCCCCCCCCCCCACCACCACCACCACCACCACCACCACACACACACACTCACCAGAGACCAGTAAGGTGGACTATGTGCTGTTCCAGGCAGCCACAGCCATCATGGAGGCTGTGGTGCGGGAGTGGATTCTTCTGGAGAAAACCAGCATCGAGTCTCTCCGTGCATTCCTCCTCAACTACGTCTTGCATAGACCCAAGTAAGTCAGACCAGAGGAAAGAAAAAAAGAGGCATCAGAGATGCAGTTTATTCTAGATTTGTTAACAAATTTCAGGCAATTGTCTCTGTGTCATAGTGAGTTTGGGTGCCATAAAAGTAGAGCTAAGTTGATCAAATCCAAAGAAAACAAGTTGTCACTATGCAGCAGTGCTCTATTCTGGCCTGTATTGTCCCGCCCTGCCCACTCATCATTGTGCTTTATCGGCTCAGTGACCAACTGTGTGCGTCTCCCTGCAGCCTGCAGAAGTACGTCCGTGAACAGATCCTGCTGGCCGTGGCCGTCATTGTGAAGAGAGGCTCTCTGGATGAAAGCATCAACTGTAAAAGCATCTTCCATGAGGTGGGACAGCTCATCAGCAGCGGGAACCCCACAGTGGTAAGAGCCATGGAGCTGAAACGTGCATTAAACAGCTTTTACTGTTACCCACTGAACAAATGCTACGAGTTCAAGCTTCATTCAGGTTACGCCTCATAGAAAATGTCTCCAAATAGACCGAATGTGTTCAACTGGAGTCTCCTCTTAACCCAGTAGATGGCACTGCTGCCTTTAGTTCCAGCAACCAGATCCTTAACAGTGCTGTGTGAAGGTGGTTATCCTAAAAACGTCGTTTAAATAAATACGTAACATCCTTTTATGTCTCCTGTCTTAAGCATAATCGCTAAAATGAATGGATGCAGGATTCACAAACTTCAAAATCTAAATAATAAGCATGGCTGTTACAGAAAGCTGTCTTCCTCGTTTATTTCTTAATTTAAGCTATGAATAAAGAAAGCTGATATATCTTTCAGATGTATTAGGTATCTGATTATTCAGGCTGGCTGTGCAGTGGCGCAGTGGTTAGAGCTGTTGCCTTGCAGCAAGAAGGTCCTGGATTCACTTCCCAGCCTGGGATCTTTCTGCATGGAGTTAGCATGTTCTCCCTGTGCATGCGTGGGTTTTCTCCGGGTACTCCGGCTTCCTCCCACCGTACAAAAACATGACTGTTAGGTTGATTGGTCTGTCCAAATTGTCCTTAGGTGTGTGTGTGCATGATTGTTTGTCTTTGTGTTGCCCTGCGATGGACTGGCTCTCTGTCCAGGGTGTACCCCGCTTGATTGCCCGTTGGCTGCTGGAGATAGGCACCAGCCCCCCTCGCAACCCTGCGTGGACTAGCAGGTTCAGAAAATGGATGGATGGATTATTCAGGCTGTCAGCAGTAATGATAAAAGCATTTTCTTTTTGTCATTATCTGAAGATGTTGACAGAAACCTAATAATGTCATATTATATATCACACCTTTGAATGTAATATTATCTATTAAATACATTTGAAAATGACGCTGAACAAGGATCTAAAACCTTTTCAACAAACCAGATTTTCACTCCTAATTAACTTTTTTGTGAGCCGTCACAATAAGTTCATGCTTTGCTGTTGCTGCGGTTGTTCGTGTGCAAACTTATCAAAACCCCGACCTGAAATTACTCGCCACCAAAAGTCTAAACTTCAGTTCAAGATGGCCGCCATATACATCTTTGAGGATGGAGTTTGTGGAGAGGAAACACTTATTTTTATGGAAGTGATGTCCTTTATCAGCAGGAAGGTCGAGCTTTATTTGTGAGGTTAATAATATGAATTCACCATTTTTCATTTGTGACACTAAATGTGATACATTTTAATGATGCATGCTATGATAATCCTTTTGTGTGTGCAGCAAACCTTAGCCTGCTCCATCCTGACAGCTCTGCTCAGTGAGTTCTCTAGCTCCAGTAAGACCAGCAGCATCGGCCTCAGCATGGAGTTTCATGGCAACTGCAAGCGTCTGTTTCAGGTTTGTTTAGCTCTCCACTGTGTTCAGCTGTCCGATAACTGCTCACCACTCACCCCGCAGTCGCATAACTGTGTGTTTACACCCCCCAGGAGGACGGCCTGCATCAGATCTTCATGTTGACCATGGAGGTCCTGCAGGAGTTCAGTCGCAGAGAAAACCTCAATGCTCAGATGTCCTGTGTCTTTCAGCGCTACCTGGCCCTGGCCAACCAGGTCCTCAGCTGGAACTTCCTGCCCCCAAATTATATCCTTTCCTCCTTTAAGAGCTTTCCTCTTCCTGGGACCAAATGGTTCAGCTGTGTCCTGTTCTTGGACTGGGAGCATTTAGCAACACCAGGGAGTGACCTGGGCTTCCTTCCATGCCTAGCATGGCCTAGACATCCTTGTAGTTATTTGTGTGTGTGTGTGCGTGTGTGTATGCGTGCATGTACGTGTGTGTGCGTGTGCATACACAAATATTTTGTGCCCAGGAATGCCTGTCTGTCTGTCAGTTGTGCTTTGTAGTTCATCTCTTGTGCACACATCCGTGTTCTGTTTGCTGTTGGTTACATTGTTGAGTGAACTTGGGTTGTTGCTGTGTGTTTGTGTGCAGCCAGACTCATTATGGCTGAAATCCCAACAGCCTGGCATCCTCTCTGCCTGTCTGAGGGGATCTGGTGTGGCGCTCACTGCCAGCCAGGGTCATGTATCATTTTCAAAGAGGTGTCTGTGTGTTCCCCCACCTCCGCCTCCCATCATTCCTGCAACACCACCCCCTGCCTTGGCGTGTCAAGGCTCCCCTTGGTATGCTCGGCACTCTTGCTTTGATTTGTGTGCTTTATCAAAGACCCGCTTTTAAGGCTAAAAGGGATTGCTGTCTGATTTTAGACAACAGTATAATGCTGTTTAAGTGTTGGGTGTCCGCATAAAGCCCAACCAGCAGTTGTTGTGCACGAAAGGGTTTTTAAAATCTGAAGCTCATAATTGTTGGCATGGTTGTGAAACGTTCTGGCTGCAGGTAGTTTCCATTCTGCAGAGGTACCATTTCCTGTTTGGTCCTAGGTTAAAAGTCTGAATGTTGATAACAGATTAAAGTCGGGGGATAATATCGATGAAATACCAAGATTTTTCTCAGCAATTTCCCTGAAGCTTTTAGCCCGCATCTGGATTACAATCTAATTGGGTTTCTATCTATACATCAAATGTGTCCTGTGAGTAATTGGGTATATGAAAGCAGCTACAGGTCAATTTTCTCAAAAGCACTGGAGCTACTTTAGGTTTTTAGACAGAGGTGAGGTGAAAAGCTTTCATTATCCATGATGTAACCTAGATTAAATCTGGAGTGGTAAAGCAGGGGTAGTTTCAAATAGAGCTGTTCTCCTCTGGGTTTCTTCATGTTGACTTGTCATAAATGCTGGCTACTCTGTCGTTCTATAAAAATAGCTTACAAACTCATAAGTCGTGTGGCGTTCTCCTTGAAACCCGGTGTGTGTGGAGTCTTGAAGTGTCTGGGCTGTTGCTGAAAATGAGAACAGATTGATGAAGACCGCTGGGAGGCTTGAATGAGTGTGGCCGCCTGTCTACAAGTGCTTTAGCACGCCTGTGATCCGGGGTGGTGTTACACACGCACACACTCTCACACACTCAGTCATGCACATATGTCAGCAGGCTGAAGGCCCTATCACAAACTGTGCCACTTGTGGGTCCCTCCTCCTTGCTGCTGTCTGACTCTAGAGACTGCTTCAGCTCCGTGTCAATCCCCGCTGGTCTTGACTCTGGTGGGGGTCAGGGTCATGCCTCGAGGCTGTGGCGACAGTCAGGTGCTGTTGGACCTGATTGATAACCCAGTTGCCTTGGTGACTTTTGATATGTGTGTGTGTGTGTGTGTGTGTGTGTGTGTGTGTGTGTGTGTGTGTGTGATGTTGTTGCTGGTATCTGTTTTTTTAACTCATCTAACTCATGTGTTAGTGGAAGGTTCTAGAGGAGAAGAAGAAAATATCATTTCTATAGCGCCTCTCAAGATAAAAATCACGAGGCGCTTCACAGAAACAAAAAAAAATGTAAAAATATAAAAAAGCATTTAGAACATGTTTAAAAATATCAATCAGATGTTTCTGGCTGTTTTGTGGTGAACTTCATTGTGTGTTTACTGACTCCAGGTCATTGTTTTCACTTCCACTGAGGCTCGTCGCCTCAATTCATCAATTCATCAATTATTCGAGCTTCAGCACAAGACCATGTCCACAGCAGCTTTTTTGGGACTGATTCTTGAGCTGAGGAGGCATGTCTCTAGCTCAGTTTTCCCATTAGCTCTTGGAAGGTCAGATTCTGGGCATTGTGGTCCTCAGGTTAAGGACAGGCTTAGGAGTGTGTAAGCTGATGCTGAGTGTTTGCTTTGGCTTTGACCTGCATGAAGAATCTTTAACGACTACTGTCTAAACAAAGTTGGGAGGGAATAAACAGCTGCTCTGAATGCTGATGGATGCAGTTAGGACATGTGTTTGTGAAGCTGTTTAGATTTAAACTACGTTACATTTGAATGCTCCTCTGGCTGAAGGTTGGTCATCTTATCCCGATAAAACATTTGTCTCACGTTTCCTGATTCAGCCTAGTACTTTCATCCATACACGTTTACTCTTGGATTCCTAAGCTAAAGCCTGGCGCTGGTGTGTAATTGCTTTAATATTGGTTTAATCCACCAGAGAGAGAATTAATGACAACTGCTGCCTTAGCAGATGGAGTCTCAACAGTAGAAGGGAAATGAGGAGAGGGAGGGCAGCAGGTTGCTGCAGAGGTATTCCTGGACTGTTATTTCACATGGCGAGGCTGCAGGGCAGGCTTGTGGCAGGATATATCACTTAAACCCCCCACCCCACCACGTGCCTTATGATAACGCTGCCACGGGCAGACACTCGGCATGTCTTGTTTTGCAGCAGGACTATCCTCATCAGGAGTAATGAATCAAGGACAGAAGAGAAGCTTGTTAATCCACACTCTCTGCCATGGAGGCTCTCAAAATGTAGACATTCCTGGGTGAAGCAGATGGGTGGCTATTTAAAACAGGTTCAGGTCACTGACGAGTTGATTCATGTGATTTGTGCTTCTGAAATGATTGACGCTGTTACTGCAAACGCTGAGAAAACATCAAGCTGATTTAGAGTAGTTGGGCCTAGTACACTAAGTACTTCAAACTAGCTGACAATACAAGAATAGTTTGCCCTTATCGCAACGTCTCTTTGGCTTAGCGCCAGAGCCCGGACTAAGCTAAGCTAACAGAAAAGCCCAAACCATCTGGAGTATTTTAGACTTTAATATAGAGTCAGACGCATTGTCTGTCTGCAGCATTCATTCGGTGAGTAAAACTCTGAGGAAACATTTAGATAATTCGTACCCACACCCAGCTGGTTACGCTGTGTTTGTTCAGGCTGGATGTAGCACGTTCAGTTGTATAGATTATGTTTATAGCAAATTAAATAACATTTATAAAGTTATAAAAATACATGTAGTGTATACCGGACCCCACTCAGAGCATACATCAGCCTGTTATCTATTTCTAGGTTATTCTTGTGTCAAACAGAAGGTATGGATGTTTTTAGCATTCATTATTCCAGCCTTTTCATTTTTGAATACATAAATAATAGGAGCTTTTTGCCATGCAGTAATTAGCACTTTACATCTATAATGTCCCAGGCTCACTGGAGAAGTTATCTAGTGAGTGAAAATTCTTAATTTAAGCACGGTTGTTTAGCAGTTTTCCCCTCGTTTTTGTGGCGCTACTGCTACTGTTCTTCCTAAAGGTCAAACATCAAGAACTGGAGTAAATGCCTCATTCATTCTGAGTAAACAGCCATTTTACCCTTCCAACCTTTCCCATTGCTACATCATTTTAAACACATTGTTTTGAGGAACTTGTTAAAACAACTCTCATATCTGGTTATAACAAGAAGCTTTCTCGTTGGTATGAGATTCTACGCCTATACGTTTTTCCTCGCACTGACGGCAATACTCCTCTGTAGTAAATATATGTATCCTAAATATGTTTCTTTAACTGAAAATCAACTTAAACTGAGTCATACCTGAAGTAACTACATGTGGTAGCTTAAATAGTTGGTAGTTATTGTAATATGTTGCCCCAAAGGTTATGAAATCATGTAAAAGAATCTTCCGGCTAAAGACATGAAGCATACAGATGTAATGAGTTAATTTACATGTTATTTAATGAGCCATAAGACATAAGATTCCATAGTGAATATGAAATGAACCTTATGGATCTGTGGGTACTTTTAACCAGAAGATTGGAACTTTTTATTGCAGGGATTTTGTAACAACCTTGTATTAATTCAGAGACAACAGAAGAGAGTCAGGTTTTAAAAGTTTAAAGATTTATTACTAACCAAATTAAAACTAGACTAACAAACGCTAAATGTATGGTGTAACTTAAGGTTGGTTTATGCTTGACGCGTCCGCGAGGTTCGCATGGCTCCACGCGGCGAAATTGCGTCATTTTAACAACCACGCCCCTCCACCGCGTCTCCGCACGGCCCAAAATTTCCGCAACGCGCACCTAGGAAAATTTCTAACCACGCGGCCAGTCGGACGCGGAAAAACATGGCGGACCGGCAAGAACTAATATGGCAGAGGTTCGTAAATACAGACATTTGTGTGATTCAGCTCTCAGAGATCACCGTGATCAACATGTTAATAATTCTTGGAAATAGCTCGCACTGTCGGAAAAGACGAGGACGCTGTGAAAAATGCTGAAATGCCATGTTGTAAACAGTCATTTCTACTTCAACTATGGTGTAGTGTTGGATGCATGCTGTAGAGCTCCATGCTGCCCCCTACAGTTTGGGAGAATATTGGCTCACCGCAGAGACAAGCCGCATGAACCATAAACGCTGCGAGTTGTGAAGCGCGTTCCATCCGCGAGCCGCATCACCAAGCGGAAAGTGAATGCGTCAAGCAAAAACCAAGCTTTAGGTGGATAAGACGGAGAATGGTGTAATGTGGAATGTTGTTCAGAACCAGCAAATCCGAAGAAACGATTAGTTCTGATGGGAAGTGAAGGTGATTTCTTTGCGCTAAGCTTTGGTTAGGAGATTCATAAACACATAAGACTCCATTCTGTTGGTCTACGTACCCTTGTGGAAGTCCCCGTTAGATCAGGAATGTCGAGGTCCAGTTTGACCTTCTCTGGTGCCTATCTCCAGCGGTCAACGGGCAATCAGGCGGGGTACACCCTGGACAGAGAGCCAGGCCATCGCA